GCCAGCCCGATAATGCTGTGGCCACATGTGCACCTTCCTGCTGCTGTGATAGATTTGTTCCCGCCCCGCGCACATGGGCTTCATGACCTGCTTTCTCCTCTGCTGCCATCCAGCACCAGGCAAGCTTGTAGCTGAGGCCCTATAGCTCCATATATGGACTCTGGAATTGGGCAACCAGCAGACCCCTAAGAATAGGGATCAGGGACTGAGTACAAACAAATGGAGAACTGCAGGGTAACTGTCCGCATTCCCAACGTGGAATCTGGGTTCAGAGCCACCGCCAGGGTTTTCCATTAAAGAAGCGACTGTGGAAAGCCAACTAGATGGGGTGCACAAAGCAAACAGAACCGAGCCTAAACCAGTCAGGGCCCGTAAAGACGGTGAGAAAGAGAATTCAAAAGGATTATGGGAACTGCACCTGTGTTTCTTATTGGCCCAAAATGCCATGGAAGTTCGCTTTGGAGCTCCTCATTGCATCAAACCTGTTAAAACATAAAATTCAGTGGAGTTAATTTTTTTTCTTTTTTTATTTTTACATCATTTTGTACATTTTTTTTTTCCATCTCAATTGTAATCCCCGCGGGTTTCCCATCACCAAGTCACCCGTGTGCCATCACCATAGTCCCGTGCATTTCCCTCCCTTCCCCTCCTCCCCCCGTTTTTGATCCCATTCCCCACTCCACCCCCACAAAATGTCTCTGGTATATGGTTGTTCATTATTTTTGTTATTTTCTCGCCTGGTCCATTATACTCCTGCTATGAGTGACACCATCCGGTATTTTTCTTTCTCTTTCTGGCTTATCTCACTCAGCATGATCTTTTCCAGCTCCATCCAAGTTGCTGCAAAAGACATGTGTTTCTCTTTTTTGGTTGCTGAGTAATATTCCATTGTATATATGTACCACATCTTTCTAATCCAGTCATCTACTTTTGGGCATTTGGGCTGCTTCCATGTTTTTCCAATTGTAAATAAAGCAGCAATAAACATGGGGGTACAAGTATCTTTTTCAATCAGTGTTTTTGTGTCTTTTGGGTAGATACCTAGGAGTGGGATTGCTGGGTCGTAGGGAAGCTCCATGTTTAGCAGTTTGAGGAACCTCCAGACAGTTTTCCATAGGGGTTGTACTAGTTTGCATTCCCACCAGCAGTGCAGGAGAGTTCCTTTTTCTCCACATCCTTGCCAACATTTGTTGGTGCTAGTTGTTTGAAGATGTGCCATTCTCACTGGGGTGAGGCAGTATCTCATTGTGGTTTTAACTTGCATCTCTCTTATGAGGAGTGATGTTGAACATTTTTTCATAGGCTTGTTGGCCATCTGCATTTCAGTGGAGTAAATTTGAAGATTAAATTTTTATTCATGTCCTGTCTTCATTTAATAAAATTTAATAACCAATTTAAAAATTATTTATTAATTTACAAACAATTAATGAAATGTCATGCATAAATGATTCGTGAGTCAGACAGCATCCAACTAGGTAACAGGAGGGCATGGCATCTGGGCAAAGATACCCTTACTAGTTCTGACCAGGAAATTCTAGACTGGTTGGTTGAACACCGGGGAGGCTGAACTACACTTAGCCTTGGTGGGCTTGGCATAAATGACTCCGTGGGGCCTGCTGTTTCTTTAACAATATTCAGTCGTCAGAGGTGCTTTAGTGGTCACCTGTCCAGGCTGCCCAAGCAGCATCCTCTCCCACGCTCACTCCTACCTGAGAACTTACCACATCTGCTTTAGCAATTCTCCAGTGAAAACATATTTGGAAAAAAGGGTCCGGCACCAATGCTGCTTCAAAATAAAAGTTGAAGACCACTGGTATACTGGAAGCCCTTCATTATTCACAAGGGAAACTGAGGCACAGAGGAGCCAAATGTAAGGAGCAAACACTGTGTTTCTAACCCACTGCTTTCTGCAGCGTCAGCCCAGATGACTCTCTGACCCCGGGCCCGACCCTGATGACACAGGCATCTATATCTCCTCCTGGGAGGCTCCTTGTCGATCCCAACATCAAAGCCCTGCCCCCACCCCAGCAATCACTGGTGTTAGCCAGCAGCAGGGGAAGATCCTGCTGTGGGCAACTGAGGAAGCTGGCTCCACAGATCCCAAGGGCCTCAGACACCTCCACCGCCCATTCCTCTCTGGGCCCTCCTGTGTTCTCTAGTTGGGCTCCTCTTTCTGGCATGCCTTTTAGATTTATTTATTTATACATACAGCACTGGGGTATAGGCCAGAGGTGCAGGGGCAGTGAGAAGATTTACTAGAGACAGAGTGGGAGCAGAATAGGTGGATCTACTGAAATACACTGTCGAGCGGAGCAGGGGCCACACAGGAGAGGACTGCTGGGCCGTGTAGGTCACCTCCCCGGCTAGAATCAAACTTGCCCGGAGAAGGCTGTGGGGAGGAGGCTGTGGCTGGCCAGCTTCGTAAGGGAGAGCCGCCTTCACCCGTTCTTAAGTCCTAGTTCTTCTCCCACCTCTTGCCTGATTCCTTTTTTCTTTTCCCTCCACTTACTTTTTCTTGGAGTGCTCGAAGCTTAGTATCCATCTGCTTTCCTCCTCAGCTCATGGGAAGGTCCAAAGCAAAAATGGATTGAGTATATGAAAAATAAAGAGCTAGCCCAGTCTCAGGAATGCTGGACCGTAGACTGTCCTCTCAACAGCCAGACTGCTCTTCACACTTACGACAATAACTCTGATCTTGTTTAGGGCACAGTCCACTTCCCTTCCCATTTGGTTTTCTCTAAGTACTCTGTCAACAGCCTTCAGTCTAATGGGCTCAGTCAGCACTTCACTAGAGACAATTACATCTAGGGAGCTTTGGTTAATTACTATCACTCCCACTTACACGTGTGCATATGCATATCCATCTTCCCCAAATTAGCCTGAAGTAATGATTCATTCCCTGGTGCAGTGGTTTCTCTCAATGGCCAGTCAGCAGACTAGTACAAACTGGCTGCAAAGTCATCTCCCCTGAGGAATTTACTAAAAATGCAGATTCCTGGACTGCAGGAGGGAAGATGATCTCATAAATCTGGGTGTAGATAGGCACAAAAACACACGCATATTTTAACAATGATGGATAGGATGTGGAGTTAGTTTTTTTTTAAAACAAGTTCACAGTTGATTTTGATGATACTGATGAATTGTCAACCTGGAAACTACTGCCAGAGAACTTGGCAGAGTTCTGTACACAGAAGCTAACTCTAGATTGGTAATGAACTTGGTAATATGTAATAGTTCATTAATTATTGCTTAATTATGCTTGTGTTCTGTTTTCCTCAGTGGGCAAGAATATTGTTACTGGAATATCTAATAGGTAACAGTCTTTGCAGTGCTTATTTACATACATTATCTATTCCTTAAAATAACCTTTGGAAGTGATTACTCTTTGGGTAGGAGATATATGAGTCTAAGAAACTTCCTTAGTCCATAGCTATTGTAACAGCAGAGCTAGACTATTTTAATGGGCTCAAAAATCTATCACCTGTCTTCTTATTAGAGGGCATAAACTGGCAGCTTCTACCTGGCTTGTTTAAAATTAATTTTTTTTTTAAAACACTGGGGTCCACATTCTTATGTGGCAACAACTAAACGGAACCTCCAGTTTGAATGTGAGCCCTGGAACACCGTGGCTGCTTCTCCCAACACTGTTCTCAACAGGGTCGCTGGAGGCCTCAGTTTGCAACTCCTGTGCTCTGACTTACTCTTGCCCATGGGCCAGGCAGTTTGGCAAACCTGAAGGCAGCCTTTCCCCTGCTGTCCAGTGTGGTTTTTTTTTAAACTAATAGGTGTGTGCATTTCTTATTTCAATAGTAAGGAACTTGCTGGTATACCAAAGAAAACAGGTCTCTATTCCTCAAGCCATATGTTCTGACTCTGGCCTACTAAAAAGCTATATTCAACCTTTAAAACAGTTGGGGATATGTGGCAAATAACTGACATTTTTTAATTCAGTGGTGACTGCAAGGAACCCACAGTGAGCAATGCCACCAAGTGGTAGAGAGGTTCCACATAGAACTGCCACTGTTAGCCAGAGAAGCTGGGAAGCTGAAGACCACTCTCAATTTAGGGTCATTCAGAGACTGGAAACCAAATGCTGGCCCATGTCCACAAGCTGGATCTCTTTAAGACTGTCTTTTAAAATATCAGAGACACAGGCTGGCACTTTTAGAGCAGTGCTTCACTTTTGATGACTTTTGGAAACTGTTTTTGTTCTTTCCTTAAACAAGCCACCATTGCTGCTGATTCAACACTTCCATTCTATATATTTTTAATGAGTATTCCTGTTTTTAGAGAATGTAAATAGGGAGCTATTAAATTCTTTTAGCTTCAGCACAGCAACAACACAAAACACCACCAACAACAACAAAGCAGTATTCAGTGTCATAGGGTGAGGGAAGATAGGATTTCATTCAGTGAATACTTATCAAGAAACGGTGCCAGACATTTATATATTTACTTAATATAGGCATGAAGGGCAGCCATTCTCATTTTATTTGTAAGCAAATAGGCACTAAGAGTGAAGAATCCGAGTTCTGAACTTATAACTTTTATCAATACTGCTGTCTCCTAGGAGGGGTCCCAGAGACAAACAGGGACATCCCTGGCTTCTCAGCGCCTCCTAGAAATCCATGGTGATTTTATGGTACTAGGTGAAAAACGAAGTCTTCCTTGTCAACTTGCCTCCATCTGCATGAGAATTCTGAACACCTTCAGAAATTCTCAGTTTACTTCCGCTCTGGACCCTACTTCTCCCTCACCCCTTTTCAATGCCTTCCAAAAAACTTCCTGACAGGATATGAGCCACATTTAAATTAATTCACCTGACAAGCGATACTGCAGATCACTTGTTTCTATCCTCAACAGTTCCATTCTCTGCAGAAGGCACATCCACTGCATCAGACAGGTGTTCAAGTGGGACAATGACAGCAGGCTCACTGACAGAAAGGCTAAGGAAGTCGACGTAGTTTGTGTTTACTTGTACAGAGGAAAAACAGCACAAAGACGCATCCACAGTATTTAATTTGTTTGGATAATAGTTACAGATAAACAGGTACACTCCATATACAATTACCAATACTTTTTTATACAGCTCATATTTCAATACGTCAACACTATTTTATTTACACTCTACTTATGTACATTAACAGCTTTCTAAAGTCAGTGCATTGTCAACAAGTTTTTTATACAGTAATTTACAAGGTGAATGTAGTTAATAATTAATTTAATAAATTTTCTGCTAGTCATGAATTAAAAAAATTAATTACAACCAATATAACAAACACAACTCAAACATTAGTAGATTGTGCTACCTTCTTAAATAAAACATCTGAAAGGAAATTATTTAAAATCTTCCACTTTTTCATGGGAGTTGTCCAGGAAGAAATGGACAAAATTTTATATACCGAATACCATGAAACTATAAAGCTAACATTTTTTTTGTTTAACTTCATCACATTTAGGTCATCCCTTCCTACTTGCAATTATAGTTTTCTTTTGAATAGGGCTTCAAGTTAGGTAATCATTTAAGACAACTTTTCCAATGTTCTGAGTAGAACTGGATAGTAACTGGCCTCAGATTTCAGCATACAAGTGCTTAATTACATTGGTGACTACTATCTACGAGGAAGGAAGGGTAATGGAATTTGACAATTAATGAGAATCTTCAAATACATATCTAAAAACAACATAGGAAAAAAATGCTGCCTGAAATAAATAACATTTATATTTTTGTTCCAGTCTTGAATTGTTGGAGGAAAAGTGAAGTGAGCAAAGAAACATTAACTTGTGATGACCACTACTGTGAAATAAAATAAAAGGCAAACATGGTGGGAGGTGGGGGAAGGACATGCAAACAAAATGTTTCCTTCCAAAAATCACCAATTTCACTAAAAATACTTATATACTATCAATGTCTGGGATGTGTTTTGTTTTTAAATTTAATATGATGGGGGAAATACCCCATATTCAAGTTAATTTATAGCCCTTACAGCCATCCAATATGAACAAGTTTAAAAAGTTTATTTGCATGTATTCCTTTTTAAAGTGCAAAACAAAGAAGCAAAGACTAAAAAACCACTTGTGGCGAGTACACCATTTAGCTCTGATGCCGTTTTCCCTCTCAGAAGCGTTTGCTACTGTGCAAGTGAAGATGGAGCAGACACTGGCAACTGCCCTGCAGCCTCGGGTGGAGGGGCGACACTTAAGGACACCTGACGTATCCTCAGAGGAGCTTCTCTCTGGAGGCCGCCGAAGCCAGACCTCAGGGCCTTCCCAGGGCGGCCTGTGGCGGCGGCCGGCCGCTCTTCAGAGACGGACCGTGTGGGCCTCCGCCACCAGTGACGGCTGGTTGTGTCTCAACAAAAAACACAAACAAAAAGCAATGAAGACACAGAAAGAATGGGAAAATGTTTACAATATAAATAGAAAAATCTGTGTCCATGCCAAAGAATCCTCTGCACACATTCATGATCTTTTTTTCTCCATCTTATCAATATTATGGAATAGAACTTCAGGAAAAAGGAGGTAGCATATCATGTCGTCCCTAGACAACACTACAATTTTTGTTTTACTTTGACTCCAGGGAAATTCTTAGTAAATTGTTAGGATTATTGGTAAACTCTATACTCACTACATGTTGTTCCTATCTGGACAAGCACAATTTAGTTCTAATTTGGTCCCAGGTGGCTGGTGCCAAACCCTTTTGCTTACAGGCTAATGGTGGGCTCTGCCTGAAAGTTCTCTACCAGAGTTTATGTGAGACACTTCCAAACAAAATTATTACTACTGTTATGTTAACTGCTATTTTAATTAGGGTTTTATTTTGTGCTTCAGGGTCACAGGATAAAATAAGTACATTTAGCTTGCCTTTCCGCGCTGCTTTTGCCAAATGTCAGCTACAGGGAGTTGCCCCCCTCACCACTAGCCTGTCTAGCAGCCAGCGTGGTCGCTTACTGTAACACACAGTACTTTTTATAATCAGATTCAAAGTCTTCATCCATGCTGCTCGTGTCTGCCATCTTTTTGCCATCGATCTTTGGCAGAAATTGTGCATAGTCTATCCCCTGCTGCTCATAGAAAAGAATGTAGGCAGAGTCGGTGTCAATTTCATCAGGGTGAAGTTCCTGAAGGGGCAAGAGAAGTCTTTAGCAGAAAGCTATCACTGTGCTGGCTCTTACTCCTCACCAGAAAAGGAAAGACCAACCCTCTTTACCGGCTAAACCTGACTGCTTCCAATCAGTTTAATATTTTGACTACCTCATACCTGCCCCCTGACATAAACCCCATTATTTTCAATGCTTGACTAAAGACTAGCCGAAAGACTGACATATCCCACAACCCCTCTTCAAATTCTTTTTTCTTTTTATAGATTTATTTAGTTATACATACAGACCTAGGTATAGGCTAGAGTTACAGGGGGTGAGAGGATTCACCAGAGACAGAGAGGGGAGCAGAATAGGCAGACCAACCAAATATACTGCTGAGGGGAGCAGTGGATGGGTCAGAGGAGGTCTGCAGCGCTATGTGGGTCAGCTCCTTGCTGGGGATTGAACTCGTGCTGCAGTGGCTGCAGTAGCCTCATAGTGCTGTGCTTTAACCAGTTGTGCCACTAGAGAGGGCCTCCCCCTTCAAATTCTAATAGCTCCAAACATAGTAACTTTTCCTCAATCACCAGTACCTTCTTCTCCTGTACTACTCTTCATGTTTTCATTCTCTACTTTGTGTACCACTTTTATTCCTTTAATACTAAAAGAACCCATAGCTGATTTTAACAGAATACCTATTTTCTATTCAGGAGAAAGCACATTATTTCAACAAATATTGTCCAGCTTTATTTTCTATTTTGTTTCCTTTTATTCAAAGTTTAGGGACATTTACCTTACAGCTGCTGTCGTTGTAACAGTACCACTTGCTGTTTGGGTTTTTGGCATAAGTGACATAATGGCCCCCGCCGAGGATTCCTGAATGGCACTGTAAAGGACAAGAGTGTGGAAGCATGTTAGTAGTTAACAGTCCCCTGCCAGGGAAACTGCTCTAAGATTTTATCAGGAAAACATGGATCACTTAGGTGGTTAAAAAAGAATATTTTAGAACCATCCACATTTCCCTCAAAACTAAACAGAATAAAATTAAAATTCAGAAGCACCAAATCTAGCCACTTTATGGTTCTAATTATTACTTAGAAAGCAAAACTTTATTAAGAATACATAATTGTGAATAACTTGAACCTGTGACTCCAGCTATAACACTTATAGAACTATTTCCTACAACATGCTATGAGCATTTGGACTCTATCTAGGAGGTCAATGTGCCTATTGCCCACTTTGTCACCAAGCTAAATGCCTAACAAATAAGCAGGCCCTGAAAAAACCAACCAACCACTGAAAAATGCAGACATTCTGGAAACCACAGAACCACTTACCGAAATTGCATATAGATTATAAATAGGTTTAACGTGGATATCTTCTCTTTGGTCATCAGTGCTGTCTTCTTCACTGTGGTTTTCAAGCTGACCATTGCTGTAGCCATTGCCACATGCCTCATGCTCATAAAGGAATCCATTGGCCAAAGCCACTTCATGGTCCTGAGGCGTGACCAGCTCAGGCTGGCTGCCCCCCAGTACATGCCCTCGGCTTAGGGTGTCAGCCAGCTCATACATCTGGCCATTCTCTCTGCCGGTATCCAAGTTCTCCTTACTACTCGACAGTTTACTCTTGCTGCCAATCTGAGGTAGCCGGAGCCTCCCTTTGCTCCTCCCTAAAGTCCGAGGACTGCTGTTCGGGCTGCTGTTTTTGCTGGAGGGACAGCTGGTTCCACTTTTTCTTGATGAAGAAGGTGACCCTGTGAAAGGAGGAGAAGGAAAGGCTCATAAACCCCAACACGGAAGATAAACTGTCCACCAAACGTGAGCTGTGGGCCAGCTTCACGAGTGTGAGCAAAAGGGTAAAGACAGGGGCATCCTGATCAGCTACATTTAGTCCCAATTATAGTCAGTGAGCTTCTACCATCCTCGATGCCAAGACGGTAGGCTGTAATATCCTGAAAATTACAGCACCATGTGGGAAGTTAGAGTAGCAGAAAGGGGATTTAATTAAGAATGAATTAAAAACAATATGATCAGACTAAGAGTTTTTACAAATACAATATTCTCCTTCTTTGTGAAAATCAATTAAAAAACACCATTTATCGAGCACCTATTATCGCTAGGCAGAGTAGTAGGACCTCCTATTATCACCGATTCTCGCAACACTGCTGTAAGGTAGTGGGTCTTAAACTTTTGGTCACAGGTCCTCCCCACTCCAACTTTTAAACATTTGGACTGCTAGAACTTTTGTTTATGTGGATTCTATCTGTCAAGATTTACCATACTGGGAATTAAAACTGGAGAAATTTAGAAATATAATACACAGGCACACATTTTACAGGCACTGTCATCACATCATGCTGGCTCGGACTTCACAGTACATTTATGAGACAGTAAGTGAAAGGCAAATGCTGTCTTAGCATTTTTATGAGAACAGCTCTGATCCTCCAGAGCAAGGAGGACACGGCCATTCACGTTCACCATTGGCTTGACACTATATGCAGAGCTTCACTCCTGATCTTTACACTGTGGACTTGGTAGTATTTCCATTTTAAGAACGCAAATGTTGGTTTAGGGAGGCTGTAGTTCTTGCTAAAGTCGAAAAGTTCAGCTCTAGCTAGGTCTGACTCAAGATAAGGTCCTTTATCTCCTCAAGCTGTTGTTCAAGAGTCGAAGACAAAGGAACTATGCAGTCTTCAGGGGTCCCAGGAAAGTTTCTTCACAAAGTCCCTCCAGGCCGCCTCACCTTTCGGACTACTGATGATGTTTGCACTGAGTGAGGATGGGCTCTTGCTCATCAATACATCCTCTTCTCCAGTTGAATTCTGGGCATCCACTTTCTTCACTTCTGCTACAACCCTGGGCTCAGAGAGGTCATCCCCCTGAGGTGTGAGTGGTTTACGCTGGCAGAGAGCTGGGTCTCTTGGAACCAAAAAAGCACTAGGGTCAAAACTTTCACGAGGAAATTTAACAATTTTCTGTGACTTTATCCATCGACCATTTACAAATTGAAATCGTTTAAGGTGAATAATCTGGAGAAGAAAACAGTGGAAAATACATTAAGGCATTTTGAAGAAAAAAAAAATTACATTAAAAAGCAAGTCTAATAGAAAACAATGTTCAAGAATATATAACCCCCTCCAGTATATTTTATTAGGTATTATAGTTATCAGTGGGGCCACTGCTCTTTGGCTCTATGGCTAACGTGGTAATGTCCCCGATTTCATAGACTGTATATATCTAAAACTTTATTTTTTAAGTTTTTCAAGATCTTAGGAGCCTGTATTTTTCCCTCTTCTTTCTGGGCTCATGACCCACACTGACTTTTACTGCTTTCCAAAATTACAGAAGATCCATTTAAAAATACACAAGTGAGGACAGGAGAATGTGCTGAATAACTTGAGAAATGGAAGAGGTTTTATACATGACATTTATACCCAATCTTCGATATGAAGCCTCCCCTAAATACCATAACCTTTGGCTGCTGCCAGGGTTTTACTGTTCTGTAGAGTGTAAGAACAAATATCCCGTCTCCATTCTGGCTTCTGTTTTCCTTCTCAAAAGCAACACACTTCTCTAGTTTTACTGCATTATGTTTTTTAGTGTAGGCACAGATCTTTGGAAGGCTATCTCTGTTTTTCTAAATGCTTAACGGTTTTCTATTTATAGAGAATCCCTTCCCAAAGAGCAAGCCCACCATGCTCTTAATATTCTTCATTTTTAAAAAAATTCATTTTGGGGAGCAGAGCACGCAGATATACTGAAATATAATGCTGAGGGGAGCAGTGGGTCAGACAGGAGAGGTCTGCTGTGCCATGTGGGTCACCTCCCTGTCAGGGGGCTGAACTCCTGCTGCAGAGGCTGTGGCATAGTGCTGCACTTTAACCCCTTTTGCCACCAGGAAGGCCATCAAAATTTCCTGTCTGAACACTAAGAGTCCTCTTTCAGAAGTAGAAGTGTAGGGCCCTCCCTGGTGGCTCAGTGGGTTAAAGCACAGCACTAAGAAGTAGGGGTATAACATACCAGGACGGGGGGCAGTCTCCAGAGATCCAGTTTCTTGGTTGCCAAGCAGTGGGTCTTACACTTGGAGCAATAATACATTTCATTTTCTCCTAGCTCCTCCTCACTCGTGAAAGCACGGAGACAGCTGTCCAGGTTGATGGGCTCAGCCTGTGCTTGCCGACTCTGTTCCACACTCTCATGCTCATCTACAACCTACACGTAGAGGAAATAGGAGAGAATAGGGGTTAAGAAAAGGAAGTTGAGAGGGAGTTTAAAATGATGATTTGGCTATGTGTCATCCTCTTTTTAAATTCTATAGGAGAAAAAAGAAAACAAAACCCAACTAGTACCTTTGAGCAAATACAGCAGCTGTACATTCATTCACTTATAGCCTAACATAGGCACTATGGATCAAATTTCTATTTGCATGATCATAACTTTCTTTGAACATTTTCTTTCTTTGAGATTTATTTATTTATACATATAGAAATGGGGTACAGGCCAGAGGTGCAGAAGCGGTGAGTGGATTCACCAGAGGCAGAGCAGGGAGCAGAACAGGCAGACTGAGGAAGTACACTGCTGATGGGAGCAGTGGACTGGTGAGGAGAGGTCTGCCATGCTATGTGGGTCACCTCCCTGGCCGGGGATCAGACTCATGCTGAAATGGCTGCTACAAACTACATGGTGCTGCTCTTTAACCTGTTGTGATACCAGGGAGGGCCCACCTTTTAAAAATTCTAATACAGCTTACAAAATGTGAGCTAGCCCTTAAGTCAACATCGAGATTAGGCAATTTATTTTTTAACTAGGAAGACAGAACACTAGTAGCACCCTATAGATTTTACAGAGGTTAGGAGAAATATCAATGGCCCACAGATGGTAGATCTAGATTAAATAAGGTTACAGAAGGCCCTCCCTGGTGGCGCAGAGGGTTAAAGCACAGCACTGGGAAGCTGAAGCCACTTCCGCATGAGTTCGATTCCTGCCTGCCCTGGAGGTGACCACACGGCGTGGCAGCCCTCTCCTGACCGGCCCGCTGCTCCCCTCAGCAGTGTACTTCGTCGATCTGCCTCTTCTGTTCCCCAATCTGTCTCTGGTGAAGCCTCTCGCCGCCCCTCAGCCTCTGGCCTGTACCCCAGTTATGTATGCACAAATAAATAAATCTTAAAAAAAAAAAAGTTACAGAAAAATTCAGCAAGAGAAGACAACAAACCCTACAGTATAACTCATTAGCATATACATCTCACAAGAGTTATGAACATACTATATGTTACATTATCTGTTCTGTCTGATGGAGCTTTCCTATCTGATACAGCAAATAAAAAGAATTATCAGGCTTTCATTAAGGAGGCACTTAATATATATCCAAAACTCTGATCTTGTTAAGCAATGCGTTGGACTTTAAAGCAAGTAGATAAGTATAAGCAAGGACGTAAGTGTATAGGATGTGTGTTGGAGGTGGAGTGGGGTCAAGGGTAAGGAGAGAAGGAAAGACCTAACATGCAATAGAAGAGAATTTCCCCCTCCAATTCTTTTTCTTTTTTAAAAAGATATTTTTTTAAAGATTGATTTAATTATGCATACAAGATCTGGGGTGCAGACAGAGGTGTAGGGAGATTCACCAGAGACAGACTGGGGAGCCGAACAGGTGGATCTACTGAAATACACTGCTGAAGGGAGCAAAGCAGGTGAGAAAGCAGAGGTCTGTTGTGCCACTGGGTCATTCCCTGGCCTGGGATTAAACTCAGGCTGTCTCGATGATAGTGCTGAGACTTAACACCTTAGACCACCAGGGAGGCCCCCATTCTACCTCCAATCTTTAGTTGCCACTTAATAAGGAATCAAGAACTACAGAGGGTGAGGCTTAGGATCAGGACTATGAATGCTGCTGAGAGACTTCACACAGGGATCTTTTCATGCCAGGACAGAGCCCAGACTACGAGGTCCACATGAATGCCTTTCCTTCTAGCAAAGATGTGTCTATTGCCCCACTCAATCCTCCCTTCCAGAGGTGAACTGTTTCTCTCTGTGAAGCAGTATCCCTTCCTGAAATCAGGATGGGAACACAGGAAGGCCTACATTACAAACTGGCATAGCTTAGAACATTCAGTATAGAACAAGTTTCAGGTTTGACTTTAAACCCTGACATGAGAAGATGGTTGAGTCACAGGATGTCCATAAACTATCAAGGTTAGGATTGACCATGCAATTAAGGGTTTTAAGACTGTATTACCAGCCATTCCCAAAGCTCTCAATTAAAAGGGGAATCTTAGAAAAATTGTTTTTCTCAGGAAAGAAAATCTCGCTTGCCCTGGGCCACCAAATTCTTTTATACAAACTCTCATTGTTATAGCTGGCTGTCCAAGGGAAAAACTGACATGCTTTGACAGGAAAAATACTGTGTCATGGTTGTTAAAATCATAGAAAAAGAGCCTATCAAACATGTTAATGCCTTTTTTCTCAAAGTCAGTTAAATATTATCTCCATAACCTGTACCAGGGATGTTTTATGGCCAACCACAAATTACAGCAAGGTAATAAAGAGTACTGATTTTTATTGATTATATTTTTTATGGAACACGCAAGCTATATGGGGACAGGGAGGAAGATTGTTAAAAAAAACTATTTGCAGACTGACAATATTTACTTATCAAAAAAACTCTGAATGACACAGATTCCTTTTATCTCCTGAGATCCATTTCCACACCCTCTATTATTTAAATAATTATTTATTGGCACATCCTTCCTTTCCCCTCCCCCCCCCAAGTTGTCTGAAAGTTCATCCTTAACACAAGATACAAGTAAGGACTAATGTAATAACTTTTATACTTTGTAGGACTATTACCAGAAGAGGGAGATGTAAGATGTTATCTAGTTTAATTTTTTATCAAGGAACAGCATAACCAAACAAGGGAAAAATGAATAGGGCCAACTGCCCTCTACTTTTCTCTGCTTGCCAAAAAAACAAAACAAAACAAACAAACAAAAAATTCATGTAGGAATTTTGGAAAGCAGAGAAAAGTGTTAAAAAGGCAGGGTGTCTTTTATATACTTAATACAGAACAAACACTGTCATAATAACAGCAGATTTTCTTCTTTTTCTTAAATATCATCTGTTTATATTGCAGAGATTTTTTCGGTATATACAATTTTATCTCTTGCTTTAAAATAACTTGGTAAATATCATGAAGTATCTTCCCATATGTTAAAAAACTTGTATAATATTTTATACAATTAAATACCACACTTATTTAGTCCTTTGATATGGGTCAAATAAAAATTATTTTTACTATTTTATTATTTTAAACAATGCTATGATGAAGATCTGTCAGCAATAAAATTATAGAATATTACCCTAAGATAAATTACTAGAAGGAAAAATCACTGAAAGAAAACACATAGGAAATCATCTCAATTTTGAACCAAGTGACCTTCCATGCAGAAACCACAGGCAGGAAGAGAAATTCTGTAGGAAGAAAATTAGTCATGTGTACCCCTCACTGAGACAGGGTATCTCAATGACAACTTGGTTTCCAAGGTATCCCAAGAGCAATTCTGAAATGGACGTGGGGTAAGATTTAACAGGTCATGCAGGCCCTTCTTCCTATAAGGACGATGTCCTCTAGCGTTTCTCAGATTGTACCCTGGGTTTGTAATAAAGGAAAAGAAATTTACAGAGCTAAAGAATTTTTTATCTTTGACAGTATTGTCTTGTCACATAATGTACTGTCAAGTTTTGTGCTGACAAAGATTTAAGAATCTTTCTGTCAGTTACTAAAATTTTCCCTATTCAAACAAGGTATGGCTGAATTACCTTGCTAGAGTGAGCATGAGCGGTTAGAATTTATCAACTTCCTTCAGTTTCCTTTAGTACAACGATCTTTCATTTCCCCAGTATCCACAGATTATACTCACCCTTGGCTAGTGAGGGTTACCAGGAACCTTGGGGTGTGGGGAAGGTCTTTTTAAGAATCCAAACAGGCAACTAGGTTTCCCCCTCCTCAATAGCACAAAAAGACAGAAAAAGAAAATGCTGCTTGATTCATTGGTGTATGAGTGTGATTCTAGCTTTGGGAATGCTCTGAGAAATAATGAAGGAAATTTCCATCAAATACCATAAAAATGGAAATACAATTCTTCATGTGACTAAAAAAATGTTTCACTGACTCTGTATCTTTTATTTCTCCATCATGTTCTTTGTATCTCTACACCACAGTCTATCCTTCAAACAATATTTGACAAACATTTTTAGGCATTGAGTTAGTTTTCTTTTAGAAGTAGTAACATTTGCAAAATTAAAAGCTGCTGTGACCAGAGTATCAGCAAAGAATGCCTACTGTGAAGAACATACACTGAGGTGAATTCTTAATTGCCCAGTCTTGACACATTCCATGCTTTCTCTAACTTTTTAATTACACCCTAGAATTTAGTTTCAAGATTTACTTGTTAGTACCTTTGAAATTTAATGCCTAATACAATTATCTCTAGAAGTGGAAATGGAAATATCTAAGTAATCCTATCAATATCTTAAGTGCCACAGAGAATGCCAGTAGATGTTTTTCTGTTTGTACTTACATTATTTGAAAAAGAAATGTCATTAGAGTTAAACTGGGCAAAGTTTAACATATAAAAATCATCATCTTGGCCCTCCCTGGTGGCGCAGCGGGTTAAAGCGCAGCACTGAGAAACTAAAGCCACTTTCGCATGAGTTCAATTCCCGCCTGCCCCGGAGGTGACTACATGGCGTGGCAGACCTCTCCTGGCCCGCCCGCTGCTCCCCTCAGCAGTGTACTTCATAGATCTGCCTGTTCTGCTCCTCACTCTGTCTCTGGTGAAGCCTCTAGCTGCCCCTGAGCCTCTGGCCTGTACCCCATTCTGTATGCACAAATAAATAAATCTTAAAAAAAAAAAAAAAAATCACCATCTTATGGTGGCCCTGTGTTCTTACCCTTTCCTGTGAAGTCTGATAGCGAAGGTGAAGGGCAGTGGGGTCCCAGTCCACAGCAATATAGGCATTTCCAATGAAAGCTCTGTCTTCTCCACAATCAATTTTACAGCCTCTGCAAAATCTAAAGGGGTAAAAATGATCAAATGAGGAGGGAATAATTATAAAGAAACCCAAATTTTCTTTTCAGAATTCTCCACCACTTTCCTATTTTCTTTTTTTGGCTTCACAGTATGTCATAGGCTTCTCATGTCACATGATAAATGCATGGCTATCTTAATTATTTCAAGGGATTATGGTTATCACTTCTCAAGCTTTGGGTTTTCAAGGCACCTGATAATCAATTGTTAATCTGCATGAATATGTGGGACTTTATGACAAATAAATGATATGAGAATTGGATGTTTGAGATAAAACAGTTCTAAAAAAATTCTAAATTCAATTATTTAATGCTTTGAGGTAGGACAACCCCCTGGCTACTCTAGAATAAAATGGCCTTGTTCCTTATTTATAAAATGTCACATTAAACACCTATAAAAATTTGTGGGCTGAGAGGAGGGGCAAGTAAGCATGACAAAGTCATGCCTATTTATTATTATTAGTTTTTTTAAAGATTTATTTTACTTATGTATACAGAACTGGGGTACCGGCCAGAGGTGCAGGGGCAGTGGGAGGATTCACCAAAGGCAGAGTGGGAAACAGAACAGGCAGATTGAGGATGTACACTGATGAGGGGAGCAGTAGGCGGGTTCAGGAGAGGTCTGCTGTGCCATGTGGGTTACCTCCATGGCCAGGGATTGAACTCGCACTAAGGCAGCTACAGTGAGCTCCACTGCCGCACTTTTTTAGCCTGCTGTGTCACCAGGGAGGGCCCCAAAGTTATGCCTATTAGACTCAGTTTACTAACAGTTGGTTATAATTCTCTGAAGGCTGATTTCCGTAGTCAGGTATTTTCTACATTAGAACAGTACTGACTTATCAAATCTCTGTAAGTCTTTTAAAAATAAAAAACAGACTTAGTAAGATTTATTATGCAGATTTCATATGGAGGGGATGTTGTGTGGGCTCAGACTTGCTAAAATGATTTATATTTAAGAAGCAGAAGTTATGTAGTGATAAATGTTGATCATAAATGAATTTGATGAAGATGGTAGAATTTATAAAACCAACTGTCTATAGAGCAGAACCTAGCAAAACACCTCATAAGGAAGGGGTGAACAAATAACTCCTAAGTTTATTTCAAGCTTCTCATTATTCAGTATCATGTCTAAAAACAGGAAACCTTATAAATAAGGTGTAATATCTGAAATGCTACTAAAATTTTTCTTTTGTAGAAGGTCAGTTTACCTATACCATGGGCACCAAGCACAGGAGTTCCCATCTTTCTGCACAACTCGTAGAGTGAATGGATATTGATAGCCCATACTGTCATCACTGAAACAGAATATAAACCAAAGTGTATAAGAAACATTTCTGATTTGAGGTTTAAGTCTTTATCACCTTCCCCTGAAGTAAACCTAGGAAGGGAAATCTGTCATAGCAGAATGCTCACATCACAGTCCAATGCTGCTTATCTGAACTAATCAGCTGCAGCCCTGGATGGATCACACTCTGGGCCCCCAGACTGTTTCCCTGCTTACAGAAGGGTCTCTCTGCCAGGTCTCTCACAGAGTCCATGTGGTCCATGCAAATTTATAAGATAAGCCAATCTTGAAATCAAACAATTGTTCTTCAGTCCCGATTCAATTAGAAAATTTAATTCATATCAAAGTAAAATAATTAGACCTTTCCATGGCTATGCATTGATACAACAAAGAAAGCTGAAAGGTCACAGTGGCTTTTAGAAGACAGGCTCTGGGAGTTCCCTTCTCCTTGTCCCAAGAAGAACAATGCATTGAATGTAACATAAGAGCAGTGTACTTTATGGCTCATTTGGTAATTGGTACCACCTATTTTGTGACTGCTGAAGGTAATATAACCATGATAAGGGAAAAAGTGAGTAACATGTCAGTTATAGGAGTTCCCACCTTTCTCATAACGTGAGTGAATGATTATTGCTAGCCCTTGCAGTCTAGTATCAAATCAGTCAATAGTTAAGTACAGAATCAAAAGATAAAGGGAAAACCAACCAGGCAGTACTCTGAGAACTTGCAGCCTCTCTCTCCTGAACATTTTTTTTTTTAAACCTTTTTGCCTGCACTTCCCTGGAGAATTCAAAGTGCTGACTGTTTTTTTTTTTCGCATATATCTCAGAACCTAGAGATGACATGAGTCTCCTCCTTTTTGCTACTTTCTCCTAGTTCTACCTTCTGGTTTCTCTGTAGCATACTATTGAATTATACCACTGGCTATTCCTCCTTGGTAGGTGCATCTCATCTTTATTCACTAAAGATTTTAACACCTGGTTTACTGTTGAGTCTTCTCACTACTTCTCCGATAGCTACTCTTGATGACTTCAAATCAATTTAACTTATCCAACAAGACCTAGGCCTTAACTCCTCCACCAGTTATTTTATATAACATACTCCCAACAGTTATAATCCAGCTCTTGTCAATATAAACTTTTATCACTTGCCAATACCTCATTTCCAAATATCCCACTGTGCAACAACCATCTCCATCATTATGCATCACTTAGCCAAGTATAACTACTCTAATAATTAGACTAAAACAAACAAACAAAAAAACCAATCACTACTCTCAAATCCTCAATTTCCTCCTTACCTCATATTAACTATATATTTTTAATAAATTCTCAATTCTAGGAATTTGTTCACTTAACCTAAATTTTCAAATTCATTGATACAAACACAGATGTAGAGAACTGTATAATGAACCCCTGCATATTCATCACCCAACTATAATAATCATCAATTCTTAGCCACTCTTATCTGTATTCTCTGTTCCACTATATTCTTTCATATTTTTTCAAATTATGGCAAAAGAAACATAAAATTTGCCATTTAGCCATTTTAACGATTAGTGACATTATGTACATTCACAATGTTGTACAACCATCACCATCATCCATCTCCAGAAAATTTTTATCTTTCTAAAGAAAAACTCCGAATCCATTAAATAATAATCCCCCCTCACCTTTTCCCATCCTAAATCCTGGTAAGCGCCAATCTACTTTGTGTTTCATGAATTTGCCTATTGGAAACAACTCATTAAAGCAGAATAACAGTATCTGTCCTTTTGTGTTTGGCTTATTTTACTTCATATAATGCCCTCAAAAAGTTCATGTTGTAATATATACAAGAATTTTATTTTTTTTTATAGCAGAATTACACTCCATTTTATGTGTATTCCCATTTTGCTTATTCATGTATCTGTTAATGGATATTTGGGTTGTTTGCACCACTTGGCTATTGCAACCCACAAGATTCTTTTGAAGGAAACCAGACATTTTATCATTTTTATTCCATAAATATTTCAGTGTTAATCTCTTAAAAATAAGCTCTGACTCCAACCTCCCTGTCTTCATCCATATCACTCCACTAAAAAAAACTTTTGTAAAGCTCACTAACAACTTCTATTTCATCAAATCTGATGGTTATTCCTGGTCTTCCTCTTACTCATTCTCTTTTACTGCATCTTAAACAATCAACCATTCCTTTCTTGAAATAATTCTTTCACTTAATTTCTGGATACTGAGTACTCTGATATTTTACTTCATCACTAGTTGTTACTTCTCAACCTCTGTTGCTATCTCTTTCAATCTCTAAATGTTGTACCAGGAATTAGGTCTTAGGCTTCCTTTATTACTCTTTTTAAACGATATCATCTGGTTTCATCAACTATTTATTTTTATTTTAGCAAAGAATGTTTATATTTCTTTAACACTTGAAAATATTACATACCTCTTGAATTTAACTTGGTTTCTGCCATCTTCTGACAAAGCCTGCTCCTTTTCCTAACTTTCTGAACTCATTAAATAGTACTATCATTTATAAACATCTGCTCAGGCTGGAAACTTAGCTGGACACCTATTTCTCTCACATTCCAATCTAATTCATTAGCAAATTCTGGGAAAAGCCCTCATCTAGAAGACCTTTCAATTACTTTGACTTCAAATATAATTTTGCCTGATTGTCATTTTTAGTAAACAGAACATTCATCAGCTAAATAGCTCATTTATTATTTGCAATTTTTAAAATTTATTTACCCAGAGTCTTATCCTAATCATTAAAAGATCACATGAGAAAAAAAAAAAGCAAAACCTTTGAGTCAAGAGAACTTCTTTACTCAGTCAACACAAAAGTAGGACTTTTACATGCATCATGACAGCATGAAAAAGATCTGTTTCAACTGAGATATAAGTAAGACATCACAATCCCAATGATTGTTACAAGTAACACATTTATGAATCCAACAGAACTACAATAGGAGAATTGGAAAGAAACAAAATATGTTTATTTTCTTTACCTAGATTGAGGTAATTATGCCATGTTTAAATGACAAGAAGTAAAAACAATGTTAATGGAATCATTTATTATCATCTGAGGCTTTTCAGAGTTAATATACAGATGTGGACATTGTTGCTCCCACTCTGAATTCAGGAGATTGAGATGATACAAATCTGGTGAATTTATACTTTCTAAATTTTGCAATAACAAAAGTCAAGGATTTACCCGAAACGTTTAAAGCACTGGCAGGAGAGGTCTAGATATCAAACCATTAAAAGATTACTGGACACTGTAATGTCTAAGTGATGAAAGTAAGATATACAGTCTCTTCTATTCAAAAGATAAAACTATATGGTTGAATTTTATGTTCTCTGGATGGTTTAACATGACATAAAACAGGTCCTATAAATCAGAGAAGAATTCATACGAATTCTTTTTTCTTGAGGTTGGAAATCACAACTCTAGGCTGATCCCCTGGACTCACCAATCCTGAGCATGGTTACTAGCTTCCTGAGGTGGGAGGGGGCTGGCTAATCGAGATACTTGAATCCAAACGGCATCATACAGGTCTTTCTTCCGGGTATGTACAGTACATGGCACAATCAACGGCATTCCAAAGAGGCTGGGGCGATTCTTCTGAGATGACAGGAAATACAGTTCTGTCCTCATCTATGTTTACAGACAAGAAGAGAGTTGGAAGATACGCCTCTGATTGTTCCTCTTTGTTTTTCTAAGACTGCCAGTAACCGGCATCACTACCATTTTCAAATTAGTCACTACAATCTTTTTCATTTACAGAACAAGCTTTAATACAGGTTTCTAAAACTCCAGGTTTTCAAGTAATTAAAACCTTTCTCTATAACATATACCCAAAAACTCCCTCAAAAGGCAATTTTTTAATAAGCTGTTGATTGACGTGAGCAGAAATTCCCAAACTTTGAGACTTGTGAAACCCAATTATTTAATTTTGTAACAACATATCCACCATCCTTTTTATTAAAAGCAGTTAAGAAACTTAATATATATGATAGAATAAAAGTGAGGTAAAATTTAAAAATATTTGCTATGAGTATGTTAAGGAGATTTTTAAAATATTCCCTGAAATAGAGTTACTGTATAGAATTAGCTTAGAAATGGCTGCTTAATAAAACAAATGCTTAATATTACCTATCCTTTTTGAAATACTAAAAAAAAGTTGATACCCTTAGTTAGCCACACCAGGTATCAGGGAAATGCATATTACATACTTCTATACCATCAAATATGGGTACCAGGAGATATGTACAAGAATACTAGAAGCAGCGTTCTATGTAATAGTCCAAAGCTGAAACCACTTAAGGCCTATCACCAGTAGAAAGGATAGGAATTTGAGGTCATATTAATAAAATAGAATATCATACAGCAATGGAAATACCCAACATAAACTAATTTGATAAACATCATGTTGAGGTAAACAAGTCAGACACACACACAAAAAGAAACAGATACGATTCTATTTGTAGTACTATCTTTAGAAATCGGGGTAAATGAAATTTTGTATTTATGCATAGGATATAAAATGAAAGAAAAATAGAATATTTAGGAGGAAGAGAGAATTAATGATTTAGAATGATAGTTGTATTGTTTATCAATGGTGATTACATAGCTATTTGTTTTGTGATAATTCTCTTAAGTATATATATATTTTTCTTTTGAATTACACAGTTACTCTTGAAATAAAGTGAGTTTCTAATCATGTGGGCAGTGTTCTGTGGGCCATCTTCTAAACAAAATTGTGTAAGTACACAACCTACAGAATTAATGGATACATTTGTGACTTGGAACTGTCTTTTAAGCACAATGCCAGCTGGTCTCATCAGCTAAAATTACTGAGGGATTCATTCAGTGTCCCATGTCTTTTTTTTTAATCAAGCATTATCTTATAAATTAAGAACTCTGGTATACTTTTACCTTCCTTAGAAAACAACTCTTCATTTGTCATGTATATATTATGTAAACTGCTTTGGAAGTACTAAAAGCATCACTGTAATTATGGTCCATAAATAAACACATGACTCTAAAATCCCATTTCACTTGTTGATATCATTTTAAGATTCCAAAAATATAGACAAAGTTCAGTACAAGTTTTGTTTTTTTAATCTAAAACTCAGGTTAAGTCTTCTCTCTTTAAATTTCTGATTTTCTTCTACTCCAACTCTCAGATGACACATTTTTCACTACCTTAATTTCAATAGCGATCACTCTTTCTCCTCTGTGTATCTTGTAATCCTATACCATTTTCATCTTCTGAAAGGTAACTTCTCCCCAATAACTGCTCAGTTCTTGGATAATAAATCCAACTTTACTACACCAGGAATTTTCATCTTGCCATCTCCTAATAATGTGTTCTCTCATTTGGGGGGAAAAAAATGCAGCTAACTGCTAACTTCTTGCCCTATTTCTTTACTTGGAAATGTTTCAATTTTCATTCTTTCCAAGTTCTTTGTTGGAGAGGTGGTTACCTGATTTTCCAAGTTCCTTATTGAAAGAACACTTGGTTGTGTCAACAACCAAGGCCTGCATAATGGGCCTTGCCTTATGCCTGTCCTTTTTCTGTCTTGCATAAGGAAGTAGAAGGAAAAAAACTTTCAAAGCTATTCATCCCCCAAGATCAAAAGGGCCTGAAAGGAGGTAGCAATGAAAATGAAGAAAAAGGCAAATTCAAGTAATATTCTGAAAGAAATCAAGGGCACAGGTATACATATTTTAGCCTCAGCATGGAAGGATGGTGTTGCCTTTCATAAAAATAACATGAAAGGGGAGTTGACTTGGAACAGGAAGATGGTAAAATCAATTTTAGGCATTCCCAAAAGGAACTGGCTAGCTCATGAAGGAAACTGGAAAATGGCACTGACATGCATCTGAGGTAGTGTGAACCTATGCCTCTGGGTCATAAACAGTGTTATAAACCAAGGTAACCTAAATAGAAGAATAAAAAAGGTAAAGTTAGAGCTTACAATATAGCTTTATGGTCCAGCCTATTCAAGATGGAAAAGTTTTTATTAAATTTTCTCTTAAAGACTTTTAAGTTTTTAAATATTTTATAGATTTTTGTCGGTGGTGAGTTGCAAACCTCTACTCTGATGCTTGCCTTTTAAACTCTAGTTCTTAATTTTAATGATATCCACCTTACCAACGTCTTCCTTTATGGTTAGTGCTTTCAGTGTCCTGTACAAGCAATATTTCCTCAAACCAAAGTCATGAATACATTCACCTGTTATCTTCCAGGGGCTGATTTGTGTTTTACTCTCGTATTAGTGCTACAGTTCTGTTGATTTTTCTGTGGATTTTTCTTTGGTGAAAGACAGGTGCCAAGTTTTGCATAGGCATAGTTACACCAGCACCAGTTACTGAGAAAATGGCCTCCTTCTCACCACTGCGCTCTGCCATCTTTGTTATGAATCAATTGTTTATACATGTGTGAAGCTGTTTCTAGACTATTTTATTCCATGGTTCTATTTCTCTTTTCTTACACAAATTAAACAATGTCTTTAAAAATAAACCATGATAACTTGTAGCTCAATTCCTCATGCCTTGTTCTTCTTTAAAGTGTCTTCATTATTCTTGGTGTGTTGCATATCCACATCTCAGTCAGGGCATGAAGTGACACATACACAAGCACACACAAACTGCATTTTTATTGTGACTGTGTACTGAATTTTAGACTTTTGGCTTCTTGAACAGTGAAAGAATAAACTTTTTTTTTTTGTTTTAAAAGCTACATATTCAAAGTTTGTGGAAATTAGTCACAGCAGCTTTATTTATTTCATTTTGTCTTGTACTATACACTTCATGTACTTAATTGTTTTTCTGTATTGAATTTGTATCCGATATCCTTGTAAAAATCAGTTCATTTACTTTTTAAAGTGATAAGGGAACTGCACATTTTACCTGACAAATATAATTAATATGATAGGAATAAAAAACAAATTAAGAAGGAAGACAGTACAATCCACAAAGAAAATAAGAAACACAAGACTGAATAAAGAGATAAAGTTTAAGAGAAAAAAGCTCATTGTCTTCTGTGATGTTAAGTTAAACTGTTTTGGTCAGATTCTAATATATATTTGTGCTTCTAGTATCAGTGAAAGTTGTAACTTATCCCTTGGAAATCAGAGGATTAGAGTGAACGTTTGAACAGAGATAGAGGTAACTAATGGATCGAAGAAATTATCTAGCAGTCCTACTCTCGCATTTTTTGAAATTAGGACACTGAGGCTCAGAGCTCAATAAGCTATCTGGTGACAGGATTAGAGCAAAAACACAGTCTACTCAATTATTAGCCCAGTGTTCTAATTTTCTATTTTACCAAGTTGTCACTATATATAATGATTACCTCTTTCCTAATTACCCACTGATCAGTTTTTAATTCATTTTTTAAAAGAATCAGACTTTAATTCAATACTTATATAGTGACCTGTGAAAGGAGGAATTATATACAACTTGTCTTGCCCAAAAACATTCTGTGTCTTGGCCAGCAACATTCTGTTTCTGTTCCCCTTCTCCCTCCAAAAACACCAAAGCCTCTTAAAGGCAACCATATTTACCTGGTAGAGATGATGATTTACATACAGGAGGCACAGATTTTTTTTTAAAAAAAGTAGTACTCAGAGGTGCTTACTAACCTAGTACTTCTCAATCTGTGAATGGGGACTGTCATTTCATAGGTAGAGCCTCATGGGTAATACTAAGTCTGGGCTCTGATGACTTATATTAGCATACATAACATGTTGAAAGTACACACTAATAAAGACCTTGCAAAGACAGAAAATGGCTACGTTTCACAAATGACCCTGGCAAGATCAACAGTAATCTGCTTAACATTACACTAACCATTTTTCGATGGACTGCAATAATGTAGCCTATAAAGGGATTGTCAGGAAGCGACGGCATATGACCATTCACCATTCCATTTGTGAAGTTCTTCTCAGTTCCACATGGCACAACAGTGTTTGGCATTCCATTAGGGATGAATAGTGGTCGAGGAAGATCCCCATTGGTGGTTAGGGTGAATATTCCATTTGTAGATGGAGAAGAGGAAATATCTACAAATTCCAAGGTTAAGTATGACATTAGCAGCTCATGTAACTTCATCTTTGCTCTTTTGTCAAACACTGGAAATTCATACCACAGACAGTGACAAAGGCCAAGGAAAAAAACCACAGTTCAAATAATAATTCTAAGTTTAATGGAAGATTTTCATTTCAGATTTTATTTCTCTAACTCAAAAAAAAAATTACAAGGAAGAGTTAGCTGCTGGAAAGTTAAGTAGAATTTCACCCAACATCTTTATAAACACCGTGTTGTGGCATACAGTGTCTCCTTTTCCTCTCCTTTAAAAGTATAATTCTCCATTCATTTAACTATGCCCTACCCAGTAGAATACCCTATAATCAGATGTTGCTTTTGTTTAGTGTTCTGAGAGAAAACTTAATTTTTTAGAGCTATTTTAGGTGTCAGAGTAAAAAAGAGGAAAGCTGAGATTTCCCTGCTTGGACACATACATAGTCTCTCCCATTATCAACATGGCAGATTGATATGTTTGTTACAACTATTGAAAGATGTTGCTTTTGAACTTGAAATGCAGGGCCTCCTTAGTGGGGCAGGGGTTTAAAGTCTCAGCACTATCAAGTCATGGCAGCCTCTGCCCCATGAGTGCCAACCCCAGCCTGGGAGACCACATGGCACACCAGGCCTCTCCTGTCTCACCTGCTGCTCCCCTCAGCAGTGTTTCAGTATATTTGTGTGTTCTGTTCCCCACTCTTTGGTGAATCCTTTCACCACTGGCCTTAATGTTGGCCTACCTCCCAGTTCCTGCATGCATAAATAAATAAAGATAAATCCTTAAAAAAAAAAATTGAAATGCATTTTCATAGTCTCATGGGACACATTGAAAGTGCTCAAAAGTTCATATGACTAATGGATACTATACTGGATGACAAAGATTATAATCTCCATAATGGGAAGTGATGATTTAAGCAACAATAAATCATCTACCAACCCACTGTCAGGACTATCTAAATACCAATGAGAGAAGTCTCATTTTCTGAGTTATATTTGGGGAAGGAACCTAATGATCAGCAACATAAAAAAGACAAATCGTACTACTGCCCCCAAAATCTCCTTGAACAACCCTATTAAATCACATGCAACATCAGAAAAAAGATTCTTTTTTAGTTGTATTTGTTGTTTATGTTTTCTGATAATATAATCGACCTGTTGCCATCTTGGTATTAGATAAGAGTTAAAAGTGATCTTAATTCCAGTGGTAGAATTACCTAATAACTAACTCAGTTACTTTAGTTTTCTGAATTTTAGGTACATCATCCATGAAATGAGAAATTAGAACAAGATGATCACCAAGATCTCTGTCAGGCTCCAAAGGTCTTTGCTCTATACACATTTAAAAAGGATTCTTAGACCAATAATTAAAGCTGAAATCACCTCACCTGTCTGTAATGGGCTAGAAGCTGAAAGTGGAGATCCAGGGATAGGAATTTCAAATGCACAGAGAAATCCACTCACTGAAAGACGAACTTTTTGGTTGTCCTGAGGGAAATACTACAGAAAAAGCAGCAAGAAGGAAGAGATATTTCAGATAAAACATAAAAATGATCTCTCTGCTATAGTTTAAGTGAATGTTTTAGATGCTTTTCATCACTAAAGTAAAAATGATAACTATTTTTTTTTAAATAACTGAAAGATGACTGTTTGATAATAAACTGGAAATAAGCTTTACTGACCAAGAAGACATTCTATAAGAAGAAGTTATGTTGTAGATAACTGATTCAGGCTTTGTCCTTCTTTTCAAGCGTCTAAACCCCCAACCCTTAAGAGATCTCTGTATTATAAAAAGAGTCAATGAATGGTCAGATGAATGTTAAAAGGTTAACAGTATTAATAACAGTAATAGGAGCGCAACTGAGTAGGCAATAATACTAACTAGTTATTTTTCCAGATGATATGCATAAAAAGGTGATTTGTATTATGTCTTTACTAACTTCTTGGTATGCTGAGAGGTCAGGTGTGTGTGTGTATGTACAATAATCTAAAAACGCACTTGTAAATACATAGAATAGGTTACTATAGGAAGAATTTTGTGCTGCTGATAGTGAAGAGCTGCCCAGTGCAGCAGCAGAAGCAGGCACTGGGGGCCTGTTCTGCATGATACAGTGGATGCTTCCATGGGGTAGGACTGGACTCATGTGGCTCCTTCTTTAAAAACACCGTCATCATTATTACTCCTTTATTCTGGTAGGTGACTGTTTTATGTTTCTAGGAGGGAAAACTTTTTGTTGGGCTTTTGTGTGTTTTCATATTTCCTTTGGTTATTTACATAACAACTGAGAAATCTAGGATTTTCAACGGATAGAATCCAGGGTTTCCTAGATTAATAGTTAATTTTACCTTTATGTTAGAACCATGTACTTCAGCAAGAAGAATTTGTTCTGATTTAAGTCCGCAGAGATCACTTAGCTGTTTTTTTAATCCTGTGTACTTTTCATCCATATTCAATCTTAGTCCATATCGTACAGGGGTAGTACCATCTAATTTAATAACTAATGAAGAGAAAATATTTTTGTCAGTAACACACAGGCTTCATTAAAAATTTTTTACACTGTGTGTGTGTTTATGATGTGTTTGTTGGAAATAGCAAACATTTTAGTCATGATTTCTTACTTCATATGTGTAAGCTACAACAGATAGTATTTTGGGAGGATATTGAATAAATCATTATTTTTTGACGTTTACCTGATAAAGAAATGCGAGGTTTGAAACTGAGAGAGGAATAAACTAGCACAAAAATGGACCCACACTCCCAATTCTTCCAAACTTTAAATGATGCTTGAAGTTAGATTGCTAGATAATAAAATTCTCACGATCAACCTTTACCCAACATCATCAAATGGTATTAATTAGACATGCAGTAAGAGAAACACAAGGGAATCAAATACTTTTTCAGAACTTTGTCACCTACCTGTTATTTCTAAGTGCATATAACTGTCCATTGGTAGTGGCAAAGACAAAAAGTTGAAAGGGTCAAATCGGACACTTATATGCCCACATGTTTTGCATTTGACTTGAGATCTTAGTTGCCCATGGAACAAATCCACAACAATTGACCTATTCCTTCTTAGATGGTTGTCCCAGGCCTACCAAAGAAAAAGATCAGACTTTTTTCTTCCAAAATTCAAACGATAAACTTTTCTACACAAAATCAAAGAAATGTATTCAATATATTGGATTTAAATGTCAAGATTATATAACCCATAACCTTCATTTAAAATATAAAAGTTATGGCCAGTTAAGCTCATGGTGCTCTTGTCCTCCATGTGCTGGTAAGCAATGATTATAAACAGCAGTGTCTTTGATAAACAGCCTGTTGCTTGTAAGGACCATAGCAGACAGCCCTTTCTGGTGGTTTTACACTTCTAATCCGTGCTATCCTCAATCTTGTTCTCTAGATTTCCAGGTTGCCTCTGGAAAGCCCCTGAGCACAGTGGCCAGGGTCCAACATTGGCCAAGTCATCAGGTTTACCTGCACCAACCTGCAGAACAAGGAGCATGTGACCAAAGTGCTGTAAAGGCCAAGTTCAAGTTCCCTGATGTCCAGAAAATCTGTATCTCCAAGAAATTGGGGCTTCGTTAAATTTAACATGCACGAATTTGAAGCATGGTGTTTGAAAAGTCCTTCATCCCAGATGGCATGAGAGTCAAATACACCCCAAAATCGTGGCCCCTGAACAAACGGTGGGTGCTACATTCAAGAGTACCTCAGTGCTGTCCCTTCCTTATTCATTCACTTTTCACATTGAAATTGTAATAATAAAATAGCGTAATTTGCATTTAGCTTTGCAACACATATTTGTAGCCAGAATATTTTATATGTTGCTTATATTAGAAATTCAAACCCAACAAACCTCTGCAGCTACTTCCCAGTCTGGTCTACCATCACTGTCTTTCAGTTCCACATATGGCTTCTCATGGACTCGATTGAGATCTTCATGAAGGCCATCCAAGAGAAAAGCCAAAAGTTCTTGGGAGTCTTGTTGCTGGAACCCATTAAACCTAGGAGCATATTTTGCTATGGTCCACTGTAAAAACAAGGGGAATCAAACTCATTAATTGCTATCCCAGAAAACCTGGAATGAACATGCCCTATAATCAATCAGAGGCATTGTAAGAGAATGTACAACATTACTCTATTTCAGCAAATATATTTTGGATAATCATATCTTCCTAATCTTAATCAGAAAAAAAAATAAAAGAAGATATGACCTGTGTCTAACAATTCTTTAGGTACACAGCTGTTATTTAAGATCAGTAAAATAGAAATATTCATTTCCATTGAAAGATTTCCTGTTATACTTTTGTTAACTTTTCTGATCATGTATCCTTATTTTTATTATCAGAAACAGACCTGCCTAGTGTTTAACTTGCAACCCTAAACAGTTATTGAAATGTTCTGAGTCTTTGCTTCCTGAACCATAAAATGGTGGTAACAACACTGCCTTACAGTAAAACCCTATACTCAGGGCCCTCCCTGGCGGCGCAGCGGGTTACAGCACAGCATTAAGAGACTCAAGCCACTTCCGCATGAGTTCGATCCCCGCCTGCCCCGGAGGTGACCACATGGCCCAGCAGATCTCTCCTGACCCACCCGCTGCTCCCCCCTCAGCAGTGTACTTCAACAATCGGACTGTTATTGCTCCTCATTCTGTCTCTGGTGAATTCTTTCACTGCCCTGTGCCTCTGGCCTGTATCCAAGTTCTGTACGCACAAATAAATAAATCTTTAAAAAAAAAAAAAACCCTATATTTAGAACATTAATAAGCTAATGCTTAGAATTGTGCCTAATAAGCAGTAAACTGTCAAATTTTTAGCTATTATGATTAATTTTAATTTAAAAGTTTTACCCTTATTTTAAAATAAAGATAAAAGGAATAATCCTGGGCTTCTCTGGTGGTGCCAGGGAGGTGACCACAGGGCGCAGCAGACCTCTCCTGCCTTGCCGCTTGCTCCCCTCAACAGTGTATTTAAGTCAGTCTTCCTGTTCTGCTCCCCACTGTGTCTCTGGTGAATCCTCTCACTGCCCCTGCACTTCTGGCCTGTACCCTAGTTCTGTATGCATAAATAAATAAATCTTAAAAAAAAAAAAAAAGTCCAGAATACTGCTAATGGTGAAGTACTAACAAAGAAATGTTTTCTGCACATACAAGTAAGGTACTTGGTATATTAATAAAATGAATGACAGTTCAAATTTATACTGTGCCTTTGATCTTTTTCTACCTACTACATCTATGGCAATAGTTTGCATATATTTGAACAAATGGAAGTATTCAATATCCAGTTTATACCTAGTGAAGGATTAAAAAAATTGGTTACTAAATCTAAAAAGCTAAACATGAAAAAACAGGCAGAGAAAACTAATCAAACAACTGCTTAAGACTTTAGGGCATTTATATTATTTGAATCTGCTTACCCGAAGCTTTAATGGGGCAACATTCTTCTGAGTTCCACTCCAAAGTTCCTGTACTAAATCACCATAACATTTAGCCATATGCCCCTTCATACCAATTGGGTTTGTCCTAGAAATTTGAGAGGAAAATTTGTTGCCAAAGAATCTCATAAATCATAATCATATAGGGCCTCCCTGGTGACACAGGGGTTAAGTCAGCACTATCAAGCTATTGCCAGCCACTGAAGCACAAGTTCAATGCCTGGCCAGGGAGCTGACCCACATGGTGCAGTAGACCTCTTCTTTCTCGCCCTCTGCTCCCCTCAGCAGTGTATTTCAGTAGATCTGCCTGTTCTGCTCCCCACTCTCTCTCTGGTGAATCCTCTCACCAGCCCCCTAACCGCCTCCCATTCGTTTGGCCTAAACCCCAGTGCTTGTATGCATAAGTAAATAAATCTTTAAAAAAAAAATCACAATCACATGGCCACAGAAATACCTAGCATCTATTTCTCCAGCTAAATGTCTTAAGACAATAGAAGTATTCCTTATTTCATACTAAACAAGGCAAATTCCCTAGGTTGAAGAGAAACGAAATTCAGGTGATAGGGGCTTATATCAAAACCATAAAAAGTTAGTAGGTCACTGACTCAAAAAAGATTACCTGTTGAGTTCATAAAGATGTCTCCCTGAGATAAAATACTGTGTCAGTGGTTGTGTGTTACTAACACACTGGATGCTTGAATTCATGAAGCATGTGTTTCCCAGGTTACTCAGACCTGTGGCTCCCTTTTCTGTGGGAACTAGAACAAACAAATAAGAATGAAGATCAGTTATAGTGATATGTTATAAAACAGTTACATGTATTATTAAATGCACTGATTTCCATGACTCTTCATGAGTCAAACAGAGCTAATGTTTCTCTACTTGGCCTTTTATAGCTAAAACAGAGAAAACTTTTCATGATGTGCCCACTGGCAATCATGACAATTCAAGCTCATTTGCAATCTATACGCAGCATTTTTCTTAAATTTCTAAAACGGTTTTTAAGAATTTAAGCAATTCTCTCCTCTTATTACATCTTTAAAAATATATGGGCTTAGTTAATTAGCATCATCAAATTCTGCTTTGAACAAAAGAAAAATAAGAGGGGTGAGGGGGTTACTTTTGAATAGAAAGCCAAAAGCTGTTAACACTTCAATAGTTGAGAGAAAGAAAAAAAAAAAAAAGGAATAATTTTAAGGTGATTTTTAAAAAATATAACATACTGGAGACTTACCCTTGTGTCTATCTATTTTACTACTGTTTGCTATAAATGACATTTCCTCAGGCCAGCTCATATCTTTGTTGCGAACTGGAAAGACAGAAAGGAATGTTTTAATCTAATCCACTGAAATCACAGCCACTCAAATTTGATTCTGTTAAACATGGGGGGAAAAAAGCTAATTCTAAATTAGAAGCTGAAGAAAATTCATGTTATTTTTAGTAACTGAAACATAACTACCTCTTTATATTAGAGACTTTGTAGTTACCTGTTTAGAATTAATTAATTAAGCTATTCTCAGAATTACCTACTTGAAAGAAAAATATACATACTATCTATAGAAGTAATTAAGGCTCTTAAACTTTAAAACATTAGAACTACTGTAATTCTTTCTTAAATTATGAAAAATGTCAGTAATAATACAAAGGCAGCTATCAATAGTTCCAGGATTCTTGATAAGAAAGTTCAAGTTTTCAATGACTTATGCATACCAGTGTAGAAATTTGTGATTATACAAGTAAGCTGTTGGTGAACGATCAATGCTGACAACTAATGAAAACCTGTGCTACCAACTATGTAAATAAGTTTCCTTATTCAAATTCAAAGAGGCAGCTTGAAAATTTTACAAAATGTTGTAAACTTGTAATGAATTTGTTTCTACCCACTGTCCCCATTCCTTGCCAGACAATGAATGCAGACTTGTTTTCTTAAATCAATCTAAATAGTATGTAGGACTATAAAAGGGCTCAATAAGTTTTCTTTATAATAAACAAGATAATGATCAAATCAAATAATTGAAAAATTTATGAAGTGGATTATAAGCAATTAACTAAAATTTTAAGTTATTCCCCTAAAAGCTAATATAGATGAATACTTTTATCTTGTACCTTCAATTACCAGGTGCTGCTCATCCTGGATTTTCAAATATTCCAATCTATGATCCTCATCATCCAGAAGAGTAAGGTAATTCTGTGTAAGAAGGAAGAAATATTTTTGGTAATTTGATTACTAAGCTTCAAACAAGTGTGGAAATAAAAATGAATGACAAGTAAAAATGTCCTTGTAGTTGTTAAAACGTATGTTAGATTTTGGCATATTACAGTTGTTCAGAAATACTAAAATTTAGGTGTTAGAATGAGAGAAAAATAATGTATACTTTCTAAATATATATGCTGTATTTCTCTAAAATAGAGCTACAGAGAATTTTGGGACGACCAGAAAAGATTCATCACACAGACTCATTACACGAATTGTTAATTCATTGAGACTCAGATTTTCTGAAAGCTTACAGAAATTTTCTTTAGTGCCTAGTAAGAAAGCTAACAGACATGCTTGTGGTCAAGATGGAACTTGATCACTTACTAGGAACTAAAAATATAAAACCAATGTTATGCCGTAGAATTATATTTTTGTTAATGCTACTTTGTCTAAAATGCTCACAAAACTAAATTCTCACAACCACTAGTATCTCAGAAGGCCAATAGCATAATTTCCTCCATTTACTCATAAGAAAACTGAGACAGAGTTAAATGAGCTGTCCTTGGTTATATAACTAACACACGGGACAGAATTAGGATTTAATCCGTGGCAGTGTGCTCTGGGAGCTGTATTCTTAACTACCAGGCCATGGTGATACCTCTTAATGGTGATAAAGAGGAGGTAAGAAAGAAGAAAACAGCGATTTAAGAACAAGCTAAAATTTCTTATGATTTACCTCAGAGTGTTACACAATGCATCTCCATAAAAGGGGGAGTCACACTGCAGCTCAGTGAATGGGCACTATTTTCCTCACCCCACTTACATGCAATCACCTTGACTATAAGCTCCAATATGCTATGGACTGGTCTTCTTGAACTGGGGAGCTCTGGGGAGCCAGGGACAGATCTGGGCAATTTAGATAACACAGAAGGTGGCTGGACCCATCTTGCTCTTGCTTCTAGAAGGAAAGAGACTTCCTGGTGGATTATTTGGTAAATTCTGAATTCTGAATCTCTCCTGTCCCAGCTTCCTGCCAGATTTAGATAAGACTTCAGGTCTCAGTGGCACTGGTTTAGTCTGAGGCCATTTGCCTGAGCATTTGCCCATGAGGGAAGGGGAAATATGAGGGGGCTTTCCTGGCAGATTATCAGGATTATCTTTTTCCTCTCCCTATCACAATAATTCTAATAAAGACCTTCATACCATGAGTCTGCTTCTTTGCCTCTGTGTGTGAAAAAGGTCAAATCCCTTTACAACATCCACCCTTTAATATTTTAGGGTCCTTGGGTGCCCCTCAATCATACGCTAACAAGGGTATAATCTACACTGCATATTTGGGAAGTATATATGAACAATTAAAAGCACTGGCTCTAAGGAATGGGAGATAGGAGTCAGAGGATCAGTAGGAGAAATTCTGTTTTATCTGGTTACCATAAAAAAAAAAAGTGAACTCTTTTAGTTTAAAAAAGATATTTGCTATTACTTCATGCCAAAAATCTTTTTACAAGATGGTATTGTTGATGATTACCAACCATTATATGAATTTCAGGTGACAAATAACCACATGTAGGCAAATAGCAATTTAAAAGTTGAAGTTTTCACTGAGATTATAGATAGGGGTTTTAGGGCAATTACCATATGTATATTTGATCTGAAAAGTTACAGACAAAATCCCATGCTCAGGAAAGACCTACTTAGCATTCAGTATAGGTGAGAGGACTCTGGCTGCCTCTTACCTCGCTGTTGTACAGCCACAGGCGCATGTCTTCCTCTTTGATGCGCAGCCTCTGAGACAGATACTCATGAATTTCCTTGATGGTCTGCATTCGACTAAAACAGCCTGTATATGCTAAGACCCGCTTTAGTGGTGCATTCGGAGAAGGTACATTTCCTACAGTTACAACAGTCACAGCAAGGAAAAAGGCAGATTTAAAAGAAAGTACTCCTGGCAGCAGTAGGACCATACTATTTTAAAAATAATGATGAGAAATGTGAATCACAGGCTTAATAATTCTATAAGTTAAACACTTCAGAACAAATCTGAAAATGAAGAGAGGAATTGCAAGCAAGATGGAGTTCCAAGCCTTGACTTTGAAAGGAAGAGCAATAAAATCATAAAGACCCAAATAGCTGTCAGTATTTGGATCCCAAGAAGAGTGGCAAATAGCAAGAATCTTAGCTAATAGGTCATAACAGCAAAAATCAAAACTCACTGTTAAACACAGAAGTGAAAATGGGTCTAGATTTGAATTTCACAGGTAGGTAATTGGGTTTACTTGATCTAATTCTCAGCACACTCTTACAATTACAAAAAAAGCAAATTTTACTTAAAATTCTAAGTTGGCATAGAGTCCACACGACCAAACAAAGCCTTAAAGTGATCCCAAGGAGCTTCCATGACAAAAGTATTTGAAAGGTAGGACAGGGGAAAAAAATCATACGGTTTGCCTCCCTAGTAAAATGACAACAGATGTTCTTGAACACCTGAAGAGCTCAAGGTGGACACATAAAAAAAGGTAGTATGGGGAAAGTAGTGAAGAGTAAAGGAACAATATGTCAACTCTAACGGGTATTTCAAAAGAGGAAGGGGATGAAATGATGAGCTAATGGAAATTAATGGTAGGCTGAGAAAGCCCCCATTGGTTAACGATTCAGCCAAAAATCCAGACATAACTACAGCTTAAAATGGCCATTTACATTTATGGGAAGTGTTTTACTGAGCAACATAAAACAAAAATAAACTTAACATATCAATATCTAGGATTCAATTACACATTTCCAGGTAATGTCCATCCATTCGTTAATGACTTAGCTTTTTCAGTCCCATTAAATATGCCACACATGTGTCTTTACTTGCTAAACAAAGGGGGTGGTGGGGTAAGAACTGGCATCATTTGCTTTATTTTAGATCTGAAAAAAGGAATTTACTCAGATCAGGCAGGCTGAAAAATCTAAAACACAATGACTTATGTAGTCTTTCTTATCTGTAGAAAATTAAGTCATTGTAACTGTGGCAATGTTTGTATACCTGTAATTTCAAAAGAGCCTAGCAAACAGCTATAATAAAGAATTGAGAAAGATGAATATCATATGCTATTATAGGACAAAATCCAACCATGATCGATTTTAAACACATTGCAAAGCAATTCTTTTACTATCAGCAAGCAAAGGATAATCCTAAAAGAAAGAGCAAATTTCTGCAATTATACATGAGGATTAGTTATAAGATTACAGCAAGAAAGCATATTTTTAAAAACTTCAAATGATTAATGATTGATTTAACAATTAATTAGTAAGGAATAGAATTTCAAATGAAAAACAAATTTGGAACATAATTAACTACCCAGTTCTAGGATTCAGAAGCATTTGCAAGTATAGTGTTCTATTGTCCTAAAGCCACATAAGAAATTTGTTTGAATTCTTGACAGTTTTTAAATAGCACAGCTCATTAACCAGGCAGCCACTTATACATAATTTTGTGCTTTTGAACAGCACAGGCAAATCTTAGTGGAATTCACAGAAGCAGCAAAAATCTAGGATCAGCACAAGAGTTGCAAAGAATACTCACTAAAGCACAACACACCTTGCCTTTCATGTTATATTTCAGAGAGAATCAAAAAAGGTATGTGTGGTGGGTTCATGAAAGTAAGGCTAATACTTTTTACTTACTGAAACATTAATCAAGAATATTTCATACACAGACTTTGTTTTACTGGTTCCTTGATGTTGATGTTTTGTTTGCTGATGTTTATGTTGATGTTATAATTCTTACCAAACAATGTGTCTAAGAATCTTCATATATTTTGTGAATACAAACTTTAAGGAAGACATGAAATGAACCCTATTCAATTCCATGAGTATAATAGTACTTACAGAGTTGGCTTGGGTTCGTAAGTAATTCTTATGTAGGTAGATGTGGCATGATTAACACAAAGTCTGAAATTCATTATTTCTGCTGAAGAACAATTCAAATATTTGCAAGACTAAAACAGAGCAAATCATGCCCATCAACAAAATTAAAGCTCATAGAGAAACACAAGGAGAATTTTTAGCATGTGATACATTAAAACGGGAACTTATTTATATGTCATAGGCTTGATTTTTTTTATTACAAAAGTTTATTTTTACATCATTTTGTACATTTTTTTTCCATCTTGATTGTAGGCTTGATTTTTTTAAAGATAGATTTATTTATGCATACAGAACTGGGGTACAGGCTAGAGGTGCTGGGAGATGGTGAGAGGATTCACCAGAGATGGAGTAGGGAGCAGAACAGTCAGACTGACAAAGCACACTGCTGAGGGGAGCATCGGGTGAGACAGAAGAAGTCTGCTGCACCACATGGGTCACCTCCATGGCTGGGGATCAAACTCCTGCTGAAGCAGCTTCAGCTAGCTGTGCTTTACCCCACTGCACCAGCAAGGAGGGCCCGACTTGATTTTTTTTTAAAGATATAACCCTTGTTTTATAATATCCGTCTTTTCCAGGCTCAATGGTTCTAGTATGAGAAATGTTATCAGGCTTTACCCCCAAAATCCTAAAATACCAAAAGATAAAATCCTAAGATGATGATGTGTGGAAGATATCACTTAGAAATCTTGAGTGGAGTTGAAAAGACTGGCAGGCTATAACTTAGGCTGAGCAAATAATTTACAATGGTTGTTGCACTAACCAAATTATGCAAAATTTATTTTTATTTTTTATCACTGCATATTTACAAACCAGAGAGGAAAACAATCCTCCTCAGTTTGCTGCTTAGACTTTGCCTTGACCCCATCTAATCTTGCGCATGACCATAGATCTAAGCCCCCTAAATGATTTATTGATTCTGTGTGAAAACAGATGGCCATGTTTATTAGTACAGTGGCACCAGGCTTGAGCAACTTGGTTTTTATTTTTTTTTTTAAGAAATGCATTGTATTCTTGCTGCATTCTTAAGTTACCTCTTGGTAAATGCTGAGGAAACATTCTCAGGCTCATCATACCCATATTCACCCAGATGTTAGACTGCTGTGTCCGAGTAGCAGGCTGCTGTCTCAGGAAGAGAAGATACCGAGGAAATAACTCCAGCTCTGGAATTTCTGTCTTGCTATTCTTAATCACCTGTTGTATTAAAAGACATAAAGTGAACACTGCAAGAAAACATGCCATTTTCTAACTTCTGAGATTTATCTTTAAAATATTCAACTGACTCACTTCTCAGTTCAATTAGATTACTAAAATACATAGGTTTAAACTAAGACTCCTGCTCTAAAATCTATCTTCAAAATACTTTCACCCTTTCATTTGAAAGTAACATCAAAATTAGAACTACAATTCTTTTTTTTTTTTTTAAGATTTATTTATTTATGCATACAGAACTTGGGTACAGGCCAGAGGTGTAGAGGTGGTGAGAGGGTTCACCAGAGATAGAAGAGGGAGCAGAACAGGACAACTAATGAAGTACACTGCAGAGAGGAGTGCAACTATTTTCACTTTTATATATTTCATGTATGTAAATGATGGTTTTACTTTTCTAAAAACAAATTCTTACAACTGTAATACAAGTCAAAAAGTATGGAAATACTGTGAAAAAACTCTAATTATTTTATAATTATAATAGCATCAGTTAATGCTTACTGACCACTTACTATACATCAGATGCTGTGCTAATTATATTTATTATTCAACTACAAAAACAATTCTAAGGTAGATATTCATTTACAGATGAGGAAACTAAAACTTAGAGATTGGAACACCAGTAATAAGTATTCCAGTTCATTCAATGACATATTTCCCATATAGAATATTATGACAGAACAGGAAAGTCTCAGTAAATAAGCAACAAATTAAAGGACTACCTCATCCTCCATAAAAAAGAAAAATACAACATCTATTTATCCATCCTGATTTCAAATATAATTTTGACACTTTTAAGATCAATAAACACAAACCCTAAATTCCTGATTCTGACCTAAACTGAAGTTTCAATAAACATTGTAACTCAACATTAATACCAAAATTAAGACTAAGGTTTTATAACATTTTTTAAATTGATCGTTATTATTTTATTCAATTCACACATTTCTGTAATTCTCTCATAGTCTTACTGAGTGAACTGGTTGCAAAGACAGATTCATTGTTTTTGTTTTTGTTTTAAAGATTTATTTATTTGTGCATACAGAACTGGGGTACAGGCCAGAGATGCAAGGGCGGTGAGAGGATTCACCAGAGACCAGAGAGGGAAGCAATTGCTGAAGGGAGCAGCGGGCGAGAGGTCTGCCGCACATGTGGTCACCTCCTGGGCAGTCAGGGACCGAACTCATGTGGAAGTGGCTTAAGGTTCTCAGTGCTGTGCTTTAGCCCGCTGAGCCACCAGGGAGGGCCCTTCTGCCCATTTTTTGATGGGGTTGTTTATTTTTGTTGAGTTTCATCTGTATATTTTTGTGATTAATTCTTTATCGCTAGTTTTGTGTGAGAAAATTTTTTCCCAATCAGTGGGATGTCTGTCTGTTTTTTGTAATGTCTCTTTTGCTGTACAGAAGATCTGTAACTTGATGTAGTCCCATCTATTTATCCTTGCCTTTACTATCGTTGCATTGGGTGCTCTATCTTTAAAGATGTTGCTGAAGTGTATGTTATGTAGCGTTTGGCCCATCTTTGCTTCCAGGTATTTTATGGTTTCCGTTCTATGTCTAGGTCTTTAATTTATAGCATATTTTTTTTTGGGAAGTGATCTATTACTATACTGCATCTATGTAGAAGTGTTTCTTGATATGCTGAAAGATCTTATATTTTTTTGCCTTGACAGTGTAGAGTATTCAGAGTAATGAGTTCTGCTATTTACTATATAGACATAATAAGTGATGTTGTATATTTAACTCATTAATATTCTGATATACTCCAAGTACTTCGAATCATTATTAAGCACTTTGTTTATGCCTCAGAATGACTTATTCTAGTAATGGCAATAACCAGAAGTTACTAGCTTTGAATTATACTATCACATGTTGTGATTTTTACATGTTCTTGCTTCAAAAAGTCAAAACACAAAAAAACAAACAGCTACAAGATGAATCCAACCCCTAACTGGGTATTTGTGTGGTTAATGCATATAACAGTTTCAGAATTATTTTTCTACACTGTTTCCTGTATGCACTTAACATTTTGGTACAGGCTCACAGATTTACAGCTTAAGTCCTATATTATCCTAATTAATGACTGCAGGTATGTGGATAATTTAGTCAATGATGTGGACTCATAATTCCTTAACATTATTTAGCCCTGTAACTATTCTCTCTGTTCTACACAGCAACCACTCCTATGGATGTACCCCTGTATGACTGGTACCTAGTATGGTGCTCTCCTGATTTGACCAGATACTGAATACTCTGCTAACATAAGAACAAACTAATTGTGAATAGTCAAGCACATATAAAAACTAAATAGAAGATTCTATCTATGACTTCTCCTTTATAAGACACTATTGGCTATACTTACGGGCCTAGGTAGGGCCAGGTTTGCTCCATACCAATGATAAAGTGCTCTCCACACAGGTTCTGGGACCATTTCATAATCTCTTCCATGGATCAACTGTGGAGTTCGTTTTAACCGCCCTCCTTCTGGTGTTAATGATGTAGCCTGAGAAGGGAATAAAAATACTAATCGTTAATATTATAGTCACTTGTGTGAGCAATTGAACTTCTGTTATGTGCTAAAAACCTCAACAAAAAAATTTATTAGCAACTTGAAAGAGAATGACTTTAACTAGGTGGCAAATTGTTTTGTTTTAACAAAACCTAGACATAAGAGAACAAACACAAGTCACTACTCAGTTTCATATTATAGGAAACAAAATGAATTTTCGAAAGAGTTTTTAGCTAAGAAGAGTAACAATACAAATCATCTGGAAAAAATCATTGGAGCGTTTGTAAATATAACTGGTTTTCATAGATTTTCTTTCAAATAATAAAAAATAGTATTTTGGAAAGAAATATCCATATAGACATGGAACTACATTCTCACAGAAGTAGTGAAAATCCTTGGAATAATATTTCCAAGAATCATCATATTACTTCTATGCAAGTATTAAATCATACAAAATTCTCACAGAAAAGTCCCATTGAAAGAGATTTCTGTCTCTAATATTTTTTAAATAAACAAGTAAATGTCTGCTATGTGCTAAAATCTCTACAAAACAATTTACTAGCAACTTGCAAGAGAGTGACTTTAAGGAGATGTCAAATATTTACCTTTATAGGTTCTTGAGTTACTAGTGGCTGGTTATCAATAGCTCCTGGTTTTTGAGGATTGAGATGTAATAAAATATTTCCATTGGTTCCTAGCAAGCACTGGTTGTTATTGTCAGAAGTATTATGTTGTCGAGCAAAGCACATATCTGTCCCTGGTGTGGCAGAATACAGAAAACCTAATAGTAAAAAGAGGATGGAATCTTTTTATTTTTAGTTATTATACATAAATATAACATGTATAATTGTTGGTTGAAGACTGCAACTCAATATCTGTCTGTGTTTAGGTTAAAGCTATTGCTAGGTTGGTATATCAGTAAAATGTTAGAATCTGATAGAACAGAAGACAGGACATATAGACATACTTCTTTCTAGATAATAGCTAGCCAATGACTAGGCAAATTAAAATCTTTAAAGATGACTACCAAATACCTAGTAATTCCAACAAGATTTATATATTTTCTGATAGGAAAGGAAGAAATATGACCAAATAGCTGGTCATACTGTTGTTCCAACAGACTCCATAAATTCTTCTTTCCAACCTGCAAACACATTCAATTGTTCTTGACAGGTAATGGTAACAGTGAAGGAAGGAGCTAAACCAAGAATTCCAGCAGACCAGAGGGAACCTGGGAGAGAGAAGAGGAGCAGGGAGAGTGTGAGGAGTGCTGGCACTGGAGCTCTGGTGAAGGGAAATGAAACAGGTATAAAAAGGTATGAAGACATACTTCCAAAATTATACAGTTATATAAAAGGTCGAAAAGTTAAAAAGGTGGGCAAATTAATGATTGGTGAGAAGAAAATAAAAAACTACAATAGAAGAGTATTGGGAAGGAATAAATTGTCACCTAATCTATGAGAGGAAAGCATGTTACATTACAGTAGAAAAGTACACACAAAGAAGTGACTAATGACGACTTATGAGTTGTGCATCTCAATGGTATTTGCAGGTATTTTAACTCTCAATTTCACATTAATCTTAGTTAAACATTCTATTCTACTTACTAATCATTTAGAACTTCCTATCTGTGGCCCTGCCTTGCCTGTGGAGAACACAAGTTTAAAGAGAGAGCACTTATCAAAAAGGACTAGAGATGGTTAAGAAATCATCTTGGTGTTAAGGCTGATCAGAGGGAATACTTCCAGATAGTGTCAGATGGGCAAAGAGAAACAGTAGATAATACAAAGAACTTCAAAGAAAAAATGCCAGGTCTGTCCAATTTGCTGACTCCCTCACAGGAAAGAAGAAAACATCTCAAAGATGAAATAACAGAATAAGACTGAGAGTTCTGCTGCTGTATCAGCAGAATAATAAGGATCAATTCAATTCAGTTGCATCACAAAATACCAAAACATCTTCTTCATAAACACAGACAACTAAATGTTAGTTAAGTAGCAAGGCCCAAAGGCAATAATGGGAAACAGTTTTCCTTAATATTTTGACAAAATAAACCCCAAATCATGGCACCAAATGCCTAAAGAATCTGACATGAGGGTCCATTTAATCCACTGAAGGCAGGCTTATGGTTAGAGTCCTGGAGATGGAAATTTCAATTTTCTGTAAGACTGTCTGTCCAAATCTAAATTCAGTGACAAAATAATTTAATAGCAATATGAAGAGATGTAGCTTAATTAATGGAAACTGAAATTATTTTCAAATTTAGAGATTAATAAGGCTAAAGAAGAGCTTTTTTTTTTTAAGATTTATTTATTTTTTAGTACAGAACTGGAGTACAGGCCAGAGATGCGGAGGTTGAGAGGATTCACCAGAGGATTCACCCAGAGTGGGGTACAGAACAGGCAGATTGACAAAGTACACTGCTGAGGGGAGTAGCGGGCGGGTCAGGAGAGGTCTGCCACACCATATGGATCTCCTCTGGGGCAGGCGGGGATCGAACTCATGCGGAAATGGCTTAAGCTTCTTTGTGCTGTGCTTTAACCTGCTGCACCATCAGGGAGGGCCGAAGAGCTTCTCTTTTTAAATATACTCATACATCCAGGAATGGCATAATTTATTCAAAACTTATTTCTATGATTGGAAGCCTAATGCCCAATATATTATCCATCACACCCTCTGACTATCCAACTTTAAAAACTGACTTTGACTAAACCTCATAGGAAACAAGCCATACTTACCACTGCCAGTGGTTTCTGAGGCTTCAGATGCAGTAGAAATGTTATCCGAAAATTTTTCTTCTGTGGCATTCCCATAACTAAGGCTGCCTCCTCCAGTTCTAACATCACTCTGTTCCACAGGATGTATTGCTGTTCCAAATGAGTACTTCCCTCCATTCAGAACAGATGATGGCTCAATTACAACAGGGCTGGCATCCTAAAAATTGTGAAATCAGAGAATAAGAGGCAAATTCAATAACCTGACAACTACATAGTCTTCAAAAATGAATGCCCCACTTACCTACTCTTTCTAATCCTCCGGTGGTTGGTTACAATCATTTAAAAACATTTTAATGTATTTAATTTTAAAGGTAGGCAATGGTAGTTCCAAGGGAAAAATATGACATGCTGGGTTTAGATGACAGGATAGATGTTGATAAAATAAAGTGTATGAGTGAATGAGCTTATTTTGGTTTGCTATACCTACATCTAGGTAAAATTGGTAAGGTAGACTGGACAGACCTAGATAATTTCGTTTGAGATGCTTAGATATTTGAGTCTAGTGATCAGGGCAGAGCCCTAAATATAAAGATTTAGGCTTCATAGACTTCTTGAAGCACAAGAAAATGATATTATGCGGAATGAGGAAAGTATAGCATTTATGTGCCAAGCAGTGGAAGAATCTGGAAAGGACAATGAGTCAATATTATAGAAATTAGTCAGGAAATTACAGTATCAGAAGCAGAGACTGTGAACTTTTTTTTTTTTAAAGATTTGCTTATTTAAGCATACAACAAGAGCTGGGGTGAGGCCAGAGGTGGGGGGGGAGGGAGGGTGAGAGGATTCACCAGAGATAGAATGGGGAACAGAACAGGCAGACTGACTGAAATATACTGCTGAGGGGAGCAGTGGGTGAAATAGGAGAGGTCTCTTTTACCATGTGGGCCAGATCCCTGACATGGGACATTTATGCTGCAGTAGCTGCTTATAGCTTCATAGTGCTGACACTTAAACTTTTGTGCCTCCAGGGTGCAAATATTTCTACAAATTTAGCAGTGAGAAAAACAGGTATATGACTTGGGGGAAAAGTAGAGGGTTGGTGTTATGAAAAATGTGTGTTTGTGAGGGTTTTGTTTGTTTTCAAAGAGAAGGACTTTGTAACTAAGAGGGAAAAGAGAGAGACTGCAGGGAGTAACCACTAGAACAAGATCCCATAGGTAGCGAAGAGCTAGGCAATAGCAAGGGTAGAAGAACTCAAGTGCCACTCAATAGAAACTGGCAAGAATTGCAGTCAATAAAGTGATCAATCAACAGTGGGTCTCAAAGCCAATGCCTATAAAGTAATTAACTGAAACCGAAGTAAAACATCAAATTTAAAATACAAACTCCAAATTACAGCATAGTAAATGCTTCAGTGTCTTTTAATGTAATGATAGCATCCCTAACTTTAGCCAAAACAGGGATACTGTATTATTTTATTAGATGTTTTCTCCTCTTTGATCTTTTAGCTAGGTGAATACAATTTGTAGACAGCTTAGAAGCCAGTTCTAAAGAAACCCCTGTGCCTTTAATTAAAAAGAACAAGAAGAATGAGAATAAAACTCAGGTTTCATTCTACATACCAATTAACTTTATTGGATTTAAAATTTGAAAAGCAAGGTAAGTCATATTGTTAAAACTTCAGATATTTCAGAAGCATGCAGATTGACTTCTTTATTACAGGTGCAATGTTAGCAAACTGTCAATTATCAACTTTCTTTTTAAAGTATGGAAGAGTACTAGATTATTTTCAATATTAAATAACCTAGTCCATAATAAAAAACTATTTCCTAGCTAATACTCTTTCAATTCTGATGACTTTAAGGAAAGGGTGTCAGTTTAGAAGTAACTTCATATGCTAATCTAACACTTGATAATTTTTTTTGATAAATGCATTTGTTTTTATTCTTTATCTCAAGAACACGAATGTGAATTTTTATATTATTAAAAGGACTGGAGTGGGATCACTAAAAAGGAGTTCTATCTTTTTCTCAATTCAAGAAGAATCAGCCAATGGATGTCTCTTCTTGAAATAAAATGTGACAGTATTAAGTCAAAAATTGGATCCTACAATAAGATTAAAAGGGTTTGTTTATTAAATACTTATTTAGTGCTTGTTATATATCCAGCAGTGAAGAATATACAATGTACAAAACAATGTGCTTCCCATTTTTGATAACACTTGATAATTTTTAACAGAACATGTCTCAATATCAGTCTTCAAAAGCAACAGTATTTAACATTAGAATTTAGTAATACATTTTATTTTCATAGAATTTTTTAGTTTGACCTTTTTATCTCTGAAATGTGACACTAATTTTCTTTTTTTTTTTTTTTTTTTTCTGCGCCACCAGGGAGAGCCCCATATCTGTTAGTTTTTTTTTTTTTTATTAAAAAGTTTATTTTTACATCATTTT